TAAAGGCGAGAATACAAAAAAATATTTTATTTATATTTCACTTAGTTCGTTAATATTAATAAATAGATTTATATTGAACTATATTATATAAGATATATTATCGACTTGATTCGATAAAAACTCAACCCAAATTCAAGTATCTTAAATTTCGAGCTCTGAGTGTTATAGTTAACAGATTTAAGAAAGTGATATATAAAAAAACATCACACACACAACACATTTCCGTTTACTGCTCAAACCCTCAAAATGAGAAGCAGCTTAGCTAAAATCCCTTACCGCGCCACCACCACTGCTACCTCCTTCTCCGCCGCATTCTCCACCTCATCCTCCAACGGCGGCGGCGGGAGAGGAAGAGGCCACGCCTCGCCGTTTCAGTTCACCGTCGGCAGCAAACCCGACGATCCCAATCGCGTCGATCCATCTCCTCCTCCTCCGCCTTCGCCGCCGCAAGGCCACGGCCGCGGCAGAGGTCAGCCCTTCCCGTCTTCCCCCGTCCTCCCCCCACTCTCTTCCCTCCTCAACAGCGATTCCAGAGCTCCCCCACCCCTCGGCCGCGGCCGCGGTTTCATCCCCACAAACCCCACCCAACCGCCGCCTTCACCGCTTCGAGAATCGCCATCGCCCTCGAATCCTCCACGACCTAATGCCCGAAAGCCTCTTCTGTTCGTACAAGATGAAAAGGAAAAACCCGATCTCCCCGAATCTGGAGCCCAGCCCACGCCCCAGAACACACTACCGAGAGACGCGATGAATATCCTGTCCGGCGTCGGCCGTGGAAAACCCCTTTCTCCACCGGCAGACCTGCCGGAAAAACCTGAAATTGAGAACCGGCACGTCCGGTACCGTCCAGGGCCCAAATCACGTGCGGTCGCATCTGACAAGAGCTTTCCCGGTGAGAAATTGAGCCAGGAGGAGAAGGTGAAAAGGGCAAAGGAGATCTTATCGAGGGGTGAAACTGGGGAATCCAGAAGAGGTGGCAGAGGTGAACGGGATGGCACTGGAAGAGGGAGAGGGAGAGATAAAGGGAGAGGTAGGTATAGTGACGAGAGAGAAAGTGATGAAGATAGGTTCGATGAAGCTGATGATGGGTCTACCGGGCAGTATTTTGGTGATCCTGAGGATGAGAAAAAATTGGTTGAGAAGTTTGGGCCGGAGATTATGAATGAACTAGCAGATGGACTCGACGAGATGTCTTGCAGGGTTTTGCCATCACCGGAGGACGATGATCTTGTTGATGCTTATCACACTAACATGCTGGTATTTGGTTTATGCAGTTTGTATTTGTTGAACTGGGTATATGTGGTAAGCAGAATTTGGTGATTTTTTTGGTTTTGTTTTGCAGATTGAATGTGAACCAGAGTATCTAATGGAAGAATTTGGTACAAACCCTGATATCGACGAGAAGCCTCCGATTCCACTACGTGATGCGCTTGAGAAGGCGAAGCCGTTCCTCATTGCATATGAAGGAATTCAAAGTCAAGAAGAGTGGGAGGTGAAGCAGCACCTTTACTTTTTTTTTTTTTTTTCTTTCTTTTTATTATTGTTACGATTATTTCATCAGTATTGCAATTTGCACATCTGGGTTTTGCTTTATAGGAATGCAGTTTATTGTTTAGTGCAATTCATTAGCATGTGTCACACTTGGTGTACAGTTACTGGAAGATGTTTTCTATTAGCACTTTCCGAAAAATTCAGTTCCCTCTTTCTTGGTGGTTTTCTAGCCAAGTTGTGCTTATTTCACTCTTGTTACTTCTGCTTGTGGAAATTTCCAGCCTCGAAAATAAGAATGGATGTATTGGTTGCTATAATAAGGGTAAATTGTATATATAGCAGTAGAAGCCTGTATGTGCATAAAGTGGAAAAAATGAAGTTATGTGACTTTCTACTCACAAATAATCCTTAATTAGTTCATTTTTAATCTTCCTGTGGCTAGTTTGTGGTCGCTGAGTAGGAGTGATTTCATTGTATCGTGTTCTGTTCAAATGATGCATAATTAATTTATTATTAATCTTCCAGTAGCAAGTTTAAGGATGTTGATGATGAGTGTTTGCATTCTTATTGTTTTCTGTTTTAATGATTGACATACTACCTCTATCGTCAAATCCAGTATGAAACAGTTTGGCAGTTGGTTGTTTAGTGCTCTTGAATGCTCGTAAAAAATGTATGAAGTGTGTGAAGATTTGCTTGTCGTACACGTTTTCCAATTTTTATTGATGGTCACTGAGAATTCTCTCGTGTAATTCAATTCTACTTTTATGATCCGAAAACCGAAAGTATTCCACGATTCCATTTATAAATTTACTAACACAGACGTTCATTTATTTGAGTAAGGGAGTTCCTCTGCGCTTTTTGTAATCTTTTCTTCATTAAAATATGGTCTTAAACTCTCTAGTTTCCTTTTGATTAACTGAACTAGTCTGTCTGACTTATTGCTTCACAGGAAATAATTGAAGCAACAATGAAGAATGTCCCTCTTATGAAAAAGATTGTAGATTATTACAGTGGTCCAGATAGAGTAACTGCAAAACAACAACAAGAGGAACTAGAAAGCGTGGCCAAAACTCTCCCAGCTAGTGCTCCTGCTTCGGTGAAGCGTTTTACTGACCGTGCTGTTCTCTCGCTGCAGGTGCAAATGCCTCTTATCTCAGATCTTTGTATCATGCCTTAAAATCATCATTATTTGCATATATTTTGGTTATTTGCTTGTGACTGCTGACGTATTCATGTGGAAGTACATGAAATTTGATAAGCTGTTCCAACTCTGCTTGGGCTTTTCACTGGCTTTATTGACATGGGAGAAAATTGATCTACAGTGATCGCAAATATTGGTATTTAGTAGGGATTAGGTCCAAAATTTGTTTAACATCTACTATAAGCCAAAGAAAATGGAAAAGATGGGAAGAATGAAAAAGAGAAAAAGAAGAATTCTGCTTTGAGGGGCCTTGTTGATATTTTGATTTCATGGTCCTGGCACCTTTTCGTTTTCCTGTGTTATTTTATGATTTTTTTTTTGGTTTGTTTGTTACAATCTTGTTCAAACTGGAGTATGTAGATCAGGATATTGAAGGGGAGATAGATTTGGTGTGATGCCCTAGTGTGAAAACCCACAGGAAAAAATAATGCACGCTTGATTTCGTTTTTTGTAATTTTGAGTGAGTTATCTTATGGTATATTTTGAACCTTCAAGCTCCCTCCATTCTAACTAATAATTGTGTAGAAGATGTTAAAACATATTGTTCTAAGCATTTGTGTGAAACCCGACTTTTATAAACAAGAATAACGTCTAAATAAGTTGTTCTTTAACCTTTTCATCCACAACCTCCCATTTTTCAGTTGTTTTGAATTTGTGTCGAGTATGATAACCGTTACTGGTGAGTATCGTTTTATTTCTCCCAAATGCCAGTTTTGGTAACTATGTTAGGTTATAAATTCCTCAATTTTTACCAGAGTTCTTCAGTATCTTGCAAATATTATTATTATTATTATTATTATTATTATTATTATTATTATTATTATTATTATTTAATTTGATTGATTTAACTCATGCAGAGCAACCCGGGTTGGGGGTTTGACAAGAAATGCCAATTCATGGATAAGTTAGTAATGGAAGTTTCCCAGCAGTACAAGTAAAGTGGGTCGACGATTTCTTGCTTAATATTTTTCGCATCGAACGAGCCTTTGTACTTTGAATCATGAAGATCACCAAGATGGTGTTTATGTTGATTTTTTTTTTTTTTTNAGTTTGTATTTCCCTAACCATTTTTTGGTTGGATTGCGTAGCCTCTCTTTTAATTTTTAATAAATGAACAAATTTAGCTTGCCACTATTCTTTTAGCTAGAGTTACCAAAAGTTAAAAATTTAAAAATATAGTTAGGGCAGCATTTCAGCTTGATGTGTAATAATTAACAACATGATTTTTTTGACTATAACTTGAAGTTTTGTAGCTTGTGCTTCATGAAAGGCACTGATAAGAAATGGGGACCTGCAGTATGTACTGTTTGCAAGAAGTCAATCCTTTTCTCTTTACCTTTTCCCTACTTTTCACAAATGCAAATGTCATAACTCACGTGAATAATACAACTTTAACATAATATTTTGACATAATGGTGTGAATAATACAACTTTAACATAATATTTTGACATAATGGTTGACATAATCGATGTATTGGAGTAGGAGTTGTTGATTTTAAAGTTGACGTGACCTGTAAAAATTAAAACCAAATAATCTTCCCATATCTTATGTAAACATTTATGTCATCCATTATGTTTGTGTAGCATGATCCAACCCAAACTTCTGAGCGCCTTCATGTTTGTTTTTTAAACTATGACATTGAAAAGAAAATTTCTATAGCTTAGTACCCATTAAGACTGAAAAAATAACTTAATACCCCATTTACAAAAATAAAAATTAAAAAAAATGTCCTACTAAGCATTAAGAAGACAGAGAAAAAAATGGGGAAACAATCTTCACTGTTATTGATTTTGGTGAAAGTAAATCCAACCATTCTTTTTATTAGGTTTGGAATAATAAATTAAACATTCATTCCTCCTTTTTAGCATTCTTAGTTTCTAGTATTTTTATAAAACAGAACAAAAAATAATATTTTACTATTTGTTAAAAAAAAATATTTTTGCCACTTTCTCATCTCAATTAATATTTTTTTTTTATATCACATTAAATTTGATCATTATAATTTTATCTTATAGTCATTAATAATTTCAAATCTAACTCCTTTAAAAAAATTCTTTTCCACCTTTCCATCTCATTTTTTTGGCTAGACAAAAATTTCTGAAAAAAAAAAAATCATGTACTTTATTTTATTTTATTTTTGGATACAAGCCACCTATTTTGAAGAAAAGTTCAATGAAAGAGCTTCTTGAAATACATGACTGTATTATTAATTACTTTTACATATAACACAATTAATTATTTATCCAAAACATACAATCATATATAATCCAATGAACTAGCTAAATTATCCCTATCGGGTAATTGAATCGATTATCGAGTATTCACGCCAAACAAGACCTTATCACTTATTAGTGACTCGTTGACTTAAGCTGGTACGGAGTCCAGAGATGAGAGAGACCCGCCATCTTTTTCACACTAAAACCCCTGCAACTACGTAATTGGAGTTTCATTATCTCACGATTTTTCCGTTTAATCCATCAATTATCTTCGATCCCCAAATCTATAGATGTTTTCGTCTGCCTAGCACCTTTGTGGCAAAGTTTCAGTAATTCGAGAAAAAAATAAAATAAAAAATAAACAGTAGAGCGAGGACAGAGAACGATGAACTCAAATACGGCGTCGTCCGTCACCGGAGTTCTTGGATCGGCCGATTCTACCGCTTCCAGAAGGAATTCCAAGCGACCCAATTGTAATTTTTTCTTTTCTCATGCGTCCCTTGCATTTTTTTGTGCTGAAAATCTGATTGTATGGGTTTCGCCAAATTTTTTTTTTCGTGTAAAGCTTAATCCCAGTTGAGCATTGATGGGTGCTGTTCTTTGGTCCTGCTTGAATGAATGGGAGATTGTGAAAAGGATGTTGGGTGTTTGCAGCAGTTATCTATGGTTCATTTTGTTTTGATTAGCATTGTATTCTCTTTCGTTTGTTTGTGGTTTTAGCCCTGTTGATGGAGCTTCGTATGCCGTTAGTTTTCGAAGTAACATAATGGAAAAATATGTAAATGTTGAAAGATAATTGTGTTAAATGGTAGAGCAGAGAAGAAAAATATAAAGAATGTAGAGAGAATTCATTTTCATTCAGTAAAGGAACATATACAATTATGTTCAGTACTTCTCGTGTTCAACTGTCATTATGCTATTTAAACATCTGGTCAAATAAGAAGATCATAAAAAAAAGACTAAGATACCCCCTCATTACTTAGCTAGTCAAAAGTACATCATATAGTCAACAGCCCCCCCTCAAGCTTGGCACTTGATGAAGATCAACAAGGCCAAGCTTGAACCTGAGTACATTGAAAAAAGAGACACCTAATGACTTAGTAAAAATATCAGCTAGTTGAAGGGCCGATGAAACCTTCTTAGGGGTGACAAAACCAGCCTTGTACTGATTCCTCACCAAGTGACAGTCAATGTCCAAGTGCTTGGTCCTTTCATGGAACACCGGGTTAGCCACAATATGTAAGGCGGCCTGATTATCACACCAGAGAGGAATAGGAACAGCCACAGGAATAGCTAGGTCATGTAGGAGAAAAGACAACCACTGCAGCTCACATACAGTGCTACTTAAGGCTCTGTATTCCGCTTCTGCTGAACTCCTGGAAACAGTGGCCTGCTTCTTGGTCTTCCAAGCAATAAGGGCAGATCCCAAAAATACACAATAGCCAGTAAGGGACCTCCTAGAGTCTTGAAAGGACCCCCAGTCAGCATCACTATAAGCTTGGAGAGAAAGAGAAGTATGTGAAGAATAGAATAACCCCAAAGAAGGACAACCTTTGAGATACCTGACCACATGAACAGCTGCAGCCCAATGAGCATTAAGAGGAGCACTAACAAACTGTGATAATTATTGTACTGCATAGGTGAGATCAGGCCTGGTCATATTCAAATACAACAATCGTCCCACTAGTCTTCTATACTTCTCTATATCCTCAAACACTGTCCCAGTTGAAGAAGACAGTTTTAAGCCACAAGGGAATGGTGTTGAAACAGGTTTACACTGAGTGAGACCGGTATCGTCCAAAATGTCCAAAATATATTTTCTTTGATTCAAATATATACCATCGGCTCCCCTTGCTAGTTCAATCCCAAGAAAATATTTAGCCTCACCTAAATCTTTGATAGTGAAAAGATTATCTAAGTATTCCTTCAAATCAGTCAAGGCAGCTGAGTCAAATCCAGTCAACAAAATATCATCAACATAAATCACCAAAGCAAGAAAAATAGAGGCAGAAGTCTTGATAAAAAGACAATGGTCATGTGCTGATTGTTTGAATCCAAATTTCACAAGTTTATCACAGAATTCAGCATTCCATTCTCAAGAAGCCTGTTTTAATCCATATAAGCTTCTTTTAAGGTAGCAGACTTGACCAGGTTTAGCTTTAATATAACCTTCAGGTGGAGCCATATAGATGTCCTCATGCAATGAACCGTGCAAAAAGGCATTATTAATATCAAGATGGTGTAGAGGCCAGCCTTTGTGAGATGCAGTGGCAATAAGCAATCTGATGGTATCCATTTTGGCAACTGGAGAAAAACTCTCAAAATAATCCACACCATAGACTTGGTGATAACCCTTGGCCACCAATCTGGCCTTATACCTTTATACCTTTCTACAGTACCATTGGGATTCAATTTCACCTTATATACCCATTTACATCCTATAACTTGTTTATCAGTTGGTAAATCTACCAAAGCCCAAGTCCCATTCTTTTCAAGTGCTGCAAGTTCTATGTTCATGGCCTCAACCCATTCTTTACTTTTACTAGCTTGAATATAAGATTTAGGTTCTTTTATGCCAGATAAAGATGCCAGAAAGACACATAGGTTGAACTCAATGAAGAAGAAATATGATTGGGAAAAGTATGTAGTGGATAAGGAGAGGATGTAGTACCTGAGACTAAGTCATTTTGTGCAAGTGGAGACAGTGGTAGAGTAGTGGAAGAAAGTATATAGTCAGAATGCCAAGAAGGAGGTTGTTTTGACCTGGTACTTTGTCTAGTGGTAGTAATATCTGATGATGTTGTAGGATTTTGAACAGGTGAAAGATGATGGGAATCACAATCTGGTTCTTCGTCAAAAAACAAAGGTAATGGGGTAGAAAGTGAGGAGTCAGTGACATGTTTGTCAGAAGAAAAAGGAAAATTATCCTCAACAAAATGGACATCCCGAGAAATCAAAATAGTATGAGTATCAAGGTTGTATAACCTATATCCTTTCTTTCCAGCTACATACCCAAGGAAAACACAAGTCATGGATCTGGAATGAAATTTAGATTTGTGAGGATCTAGATTTACAGCATAGGATAAACAACCAAAGACTTTCAAAGTGGAGTAATCAGGTAAGTGACCAAACAATATTTCAAAAGGAGTTTTCCAGTCAGTGGTAGAGGTAGGTAATCTGTTGATAAGATATGTAGCATGTAGGATTGAGTAGGACCAAAATTTAGATGGTAGGTTTGATTGAAACATGCAGGCTCTTGCTAAGTTCAGAATTTGCCTATGTTTTCTTTCAACGACACCATTTTGTTGTGGTGTGTATGGACAAGAAGTTTGGTGGAGAATGCCATGTTGTGAAAAAAGTGTTTGGCAGGTATGGCTTAGAAACTCAGTTCCATTGTCACTTCTGAATTGTTTAATCTTGATATCAAACTGAGTAATAACCATCTGAATGAAATCACTAAGAATGTCTGGAACTTGATTTTTGTGTTTAAGAAGATAAACCCAAACCCCTCTGCTATGATCATCTACCAAGGTAAGGAAGTACGGAGTATTTGTGAGGTTAGAAACATTATGAGGACCCCAAACATCCATATGAACTAATTCAAACAAAGAGTTTTTGTGTGTATGACTGGTAGTAAAAGATAATCTTGGCTGCTTTGATTTATGGAAAATTTCACACTGAGAGGTAAAACTCTTGGTTTCAGAAGTACAAAGAGATTTCATAAAGTCTACATGCTCCAAAATAGAAATAGAAGCATGTCCAAATCTTCTATGCCACAAAGAAAATGAATTCAAGTTTGATGAAGTCACAGAATTACAAGAAGTAGAAATGAAGTCTGAGGGTTTCAAAGTGTATAGTCTTCCCACTGTCTTTCCACTGGCAACTATGTCCTTAGTCTTCTGGTCCTGTAGACAAAAATGTGTAGGATAGAACGTGCTGGAAATAGATGATTGTTGAGCTAACTGAGCTACTGAAATCAAATTGTATTTGAAGGCAGGTATGTAAAGCACATCATGCAATGATAGTTTGTCATGCAACTTGACTGACCCTGATTGTTTGACTGATAGTTTGGTTCCATTTGGAAGTAAAATGTCTATAGGTGAAATGGTATGCAGGTGGGTGAAAAGATCAGAAACATGGCTCATATGTCTGCTGGCACCAGTATCTAATATCCAAGAATTGTCATCTACATATTCAACACTGTTTAAAGCGAAAGAAGGGTGAGTGAGAGATATACCAGCATAATCTGCAAAATGAACATGATTCAGAGTCCCCTCATGGTTTTGTTTGCCACCAACTGAGAGATATTTGGCAATCTCTTGCTTAATCAGATTTGATATATCCTGCAAAGGAAGATCTCCTCCTTTCCCTTCAGTTCCACTATTACCCTTGGGCAGTGTCTCTAACTTCACTGTGTTAGCCATCATTCTGCCTTGTTGTTTTGCTCTTTGCTCCTTTAATGTTTTAAACCACTCCGGGTATCCATGGAGCTTGAAACAAGCTTGAGACAGATGTCCAAACTCCTGACAATAGTCACATTTCTGTTTTGCCTTCTCTTCCTTAGATAGTCTCACAAAACCTCTACCCCTTCCTCCTTGCCAATTTTGTCCACTACCTTCTCCTTTTCCAGCTATTCCTCTTCCATATCCAGTAAACTTGCTAAATAGAGCATTATGTTCTCTTATCTCTGGATATTGCTGTTGAACAGACCTTTGTTTCTCCACTCTCTGTATCATGAGTATGCTCTATTTACTGTGGGTAAAGGCTCTAGGAGTAGAATTTGGCTCATCACTCCTTCATAACTCTCATGTAGGCCCATGAGAAATTGCAGCAATTTTCGATTCTCCTCAATTATCATCATTTGCTGCATTGATCCACATTTACACACAGGAACAGAAACCAAACTTGCATATTCATCCCACAACCTTTTGAGTTTTGTAAAATAGCCAGCAATAGAATCATTATCTTGCCTAATTGTTGCTATTTCTTTCTGTAGTTGATATAGCAGTGGTCCATTACTCTCTCCGAAACGCTGCTCAATCTCTTCCCATAAGGATCGCGCACAATCAGCATACAGAAAAGCATCAACAAGGTCCTTACCTAGAGAATTAAGGATCCAGCTGTAGATTGTGTAATCGACCTTCCTCCAATGCTCGAAATCCTCAGAATCCAGATCTGGCTTAGGTATGTCGCCATTGACAAACCCTAGCTTATTCTTAGCTCCGAGTGCGATCGTCATCGCTCTTCTCCATGATTGATAATTTGCTCCGGTGAGAGGTGTTGTCACCAAAGCCATCCCAGGATTATCGGAATTATGGAGCGCATATGGATCGCTAACCCTCACCTGTGTTGATCGATTGTCGTCGGATCCATTTCCTTCATTGTTTCTGTTGTGGCCTCCTGCCACTACTACGTTCCACGCCGTGTTCAGTGCCATTTCCGATCAATGATTTGGCTCTGATACCATGTTAAATGGTAGAGCAGAGAAGAAAAATATAAAGAATGTAGAGAGAATTCATTTTCATTCAGTAAAGGAACATATACAATAATGTTCAGTACTTCTCGTGTTCAACTGTCATTATGCTATTTAAACATCTCGTCAAATAAGAAGATCATAAGAAAAAGACTAAGATACCCCCTCATTACTTAGCTAGTCAAAAGTACATCATATAGTCAACAAATTGACAGGTGCATCTGATTTCCATTTATCAGTTTACCAAACTCATCAATAGTTGGTATGTTTAAATTCTGATAGAAAAGAATTGAAGAATATGTTGAGAGATGAAAATCACTACCAAACAAATCATCTTCTAGATTTTTAGTTTGTGTATGTATCTGAAGAGAAAACCAATTTTACAATGTATAATGCAATGGATTGAAATTTGGTGACATCATATGTGTATATATCATGTTGGAACTCACAAATTAGCTTAAAATTTATTAAGTGTATCACTCTGCGTTTCCTTTTTTTGTGGTAAGTAAACCCGTTTTGTAAAAAAGAAAAAATCAGAACTCCTAAGTCCTAACCCCTCTTCTAAAATTTATCATTGTCATCACTATTTTTATGCATGTTGAGTTGTTAATACCTTGACCGATAAATCTTTGATAGCGGCACATGTGCCAGGATGGTTATGTGATTTCTACAAGTCTCAGTTTATATCAGTTAATAGTTAATATTAAAAGAGAAGCGTCGGATTCATGTTTGCTGTCAAGTAGTAGTTCTAATGTCAGAAGTGTAACATTATGACGGCTCATTTATCTATAAACAGAGTTTTGCCTTCTAACTTGTATTCTTTCAGATTCAAGGTTCACACAGCAAGAACTTCCAGCATGTAAACCTATTCTCACGCCTAAATGGGTTTGTAACTTTGGTGCACATCATTATATATATGTCTTCACGTTTTAGAGAACTTATTTGATATCAATAATCTTGTTCTTTCTGTTTCAGGTGATCTTGACTTTCTTGCTTGTCGCTTTTGTATTTATTCCCATTGGAGTGGTCTCTCTCATTGCTTCTCAAAATGTATGCTCCAACTTGATCTATCTTTGGGATAATTGTAAAAACTACCCTGATTTTTGTATTATCACAAAAAGGAAAAAAAAGAAAAAAAATTCTAGTTAACACTCAATCTTTCTGATACCGCCTTAAGTTTCGGTGCAAACACCCATTTGAGAATCGTAGTTATCTGACAAATACCTCCTTCTTGAGGGGGTATCTGTAATTTTCAACAGGGTTTATGTACTTTTGTTGTGAATAGGCTAAACCTCAAGGGTAGCATTTGTATTTAACCTTGTAGCTCTTTTGGTATTGCTGTAGTCTGTGTTTAAAAGTGCTCCTCTTGCTAAAAAAAAAAATCGTTCTATTTTCACCAAGGTTGTTGAAATTGTTGATGGATACGAGACTGTCTGCATTCCTGAAGTGTCGAAAAATAACAAGGTCGGGTTTATTCAAAGCTCTCAAGACAAAAACTGCAGCAGAACTCTCAGGGTTTGTTTCTTATCTGCGGTTATTGATGCTATCTTAGCTTCTCATCTATCTATAGCATTCATTTCCTAAGAGAAAATTTCATTTTCTTACTTCATTACTTTGGTGTCAGGTTTCGAAGTATATGCAGAAACCGATTTATGTTTATTACCAGCTTGACAATTTCTACCAAAATCACCGCAGGTAAGTATGAAGTGCTGTTCCGGTACTAATCTTGTGGTTATAAGATGATTGATACCTTATTTATTCTTCTACTTTTCTTCTTTTCCCTTTCTTCTGTAAAATGAACTCAGCTGCTGTTGTGGATTGAGATACTGGATATTGGTTGAACAATAAATTCATTATATTAAAATTATTGTACCATCATTTGTGTTTACTTATAGGGTATCAAAAAGTTAATAAACTAATATTTCATCTCATTACTGCTGTTGATGTAGATTCTTCACTTATATTTGGGTGTTTTACTACTTTTATATTTTAAATTTCTCCTGTGTTGGTTTATGTATTTATTGATGAGTATATTAGGTATGTAAAGAGCCGAAGTGATCAACAGTTAAGAAACCGAGGGAGTGAGGAAGATGTAAAATCATGTAAACCTGAGGACCGAAAAGGTAAAAAAGGGCCAGTAGTAGTTCCTTGTGGACTTATAGCATGGAGTTTGTTCAACGACACATATGCCTTTTCTCGTAACAACCAGAAGTTGACCGTAAATAAGAAAGGTATTTCATGGAAAAGTGATAGAGACCACAAATTCGGAGAAGAAGTTTACCCGAAAAACTTTCAGAATGGGCCTCTGATCGGTGGTGGCAGACTCGATTCATCTAAACCAGTAAGTCTCTGTATCAAACAGAAAGTTCGACTCATAATTTACAAAAATTGTCTTTCTTGGAACAAAATATTGCAATTCCCATTGATCGTGTCTTGTATTTTCTGAAACTAAATTATGGCATGAGTTCAAATTTAGAGTGCATTTATTGAAAATAAAATTCACCCCTTTTGGCTATTGCTTTCTTCGTCTGTGAAAGAATATATTACAATATCATTCTACGGATTTTTATTTTTTTTCATGTGCTTGATCAAAATCATTCAGGGCATGATAATTTAGTTTTAAGGCTTCTATAAGAATTGGATTATGATTAAGTTTAAATGTCACAGTTGAGCGAACAGGAAGATCTTATTGTGTGGATGCGAACGGCAGCTCTTCCAACTTTTAGGAAATTGTATGGGAAAATTGAAGTGGATCTTCAAGTTGACGATCTCATCAATGTCTCAATAGGGAACAATTATAATACTTACAGTTTCAATGGCAAGAAAAAACTCGTTCTTTCTACCAGCAGCTGGCTCGGAGGAAAAAACGAGTTTATTGGTATTGCGTATCTAATAGTGGGTGGATTGTGCATGTTTTTGGCCATGGTTTTCATGCTTATTTATCTAATTAGGCCAAGGTATGCTCTTTTTGCCTATTCCTACAATCCATGCTACTCGGCCCATATTTATCGCGTGATTATTGTTCTAATTACTTTATTCATGATCGATATTTTGGGCACTTGCTTTGTAAGTGTCCTTTCCTTCACATTAATAAATAGGCAAAATTAATCGAAAATTCTCTGTGGCACAGGCAACTTGGAGATCCATCTTATCTATCATGGAATCGAAGTCCGGGAGGTCACTAAGCTAGCTTATAAGTGCTGCTTTTGTTTGGTTCCCATATGAGCAGTATGAACAATAGCTGGGCCTTATGGAGATTTCTAAAATGCAGAAAATTAATTGAATTTTTATTAGTTACATTGGCCCTGTGTGTTTGGGATATGGAGGTGTAAATTTGATTCATTGATGACAATCAAACTCCAGTTAACTTCTGGTTGATTGTTTGTTCTTTTTGTGTGTATTTTAGTATTTACCTTTGACCTTTAGCTTTGGTCCTTCCTGGAGTTGACCTAGAAAACTATTTTTGTGGTGATACAAATACATGCCATAAAATACAGTAGGACAAGATTAATTGTTGTTCTGATGGTTATATATTTTTTTCCAATATATATGGATACTTTCAAATTAAAATTTTATACTCTAAAAAAGATTTAAATATAAATATAACATTTCATAATGTAAATATGTATTTTATGGGTAGAGTAGTATAAAACTTCATTTGAATGTTTCAGTCTTGATAGTGAATATACAACTGCACTAGAGTAATCAGCCTGTATTTTTATTTTATATTTTCATTGATGTTCTTAAAATTCGAAAATATTGGGCTAATTTTGTATTTATTTTAAACGTAATATTGTTTTTGTTATCATTGTGAAATTAACTACCTTATGACGTTTCTATTTGATACATATATAAAATAAAAAATAATAAGCTATAGCTATATATTAATCAGCACGAACAAGATTGCATAAGGACAGAAGATGAACAGAGTTGAAGAATAAGGATCTACCATTGAATTGAGAAAAACGAAAAGTGAAAGTACAATGTGTTGTTTCTTCCTTTTAGAGCATCTCCAATGTTATGAGTTTGAAAGACCATTATTTTAATCTACATTGGAATAATGTACTAGAAATTTGAATAAAATAGTATCTTCAATGCATCAATTTGACAATAAGTTATTTGTATAGGTGGACCAATTAAATAATTCATCGATACAAGAAAAATAAAAATTAAAACAAATATAAAGTAAATTGATGAGCCATCATGTTTAACATGGTGTTAGATATTAGAAAGTGTGCTCAACATAGTCAACATTAACTGACATCCACATTATCATGAAAGAGTTTATGACAAGATGCATTGGAGAAAAAAAATAATAACACACTTTCAAAAGTTGATGATATGAATGACTTTTTATAATGTCAAAAGTCATATTGGAGATGCTCTTATATGTAGGGTTTCTACAAGGGCAACAAAGTACTTTTTACGCATTCATAATACATTACACCCTAATAATGCATACCGTTAATATCCCGCGAGCTTAACATGGATGTTGTATATGTTAAGCTTGGATATTAGATATAAAAAAGTTGGGCTAGGTAAAGCTTTGGTTAAAAGATTTGAAATCTGTTCCTTTGTGTCCACGTGACGAAATTTTATCTATCCTTGAGCAACCTTTTCTAATTAAGTGACAATCAATTTTAATGTGCTTTGTAAGTTCATGAAAAACAGAGTTAGTAGCAACGGCAAGAACAGATTTACTATCAAAAGTGTATAAGTTTAAAATCATTAAAGAGAAATGATAACCATTGAATTTCATAAGTTGTAGATGCAAGGGCCATATACACAAGTTGTTTTTATTATATTTTATTTTCTACAGATTATTGGCTTTTCTTTTGTAATCAAATGCACAGAGTCGAGTAGATGGGTATATATAAAAGGGAAGTACCTGCTCTCTTTAAACGCCACTCCACCTTAATGTCAAAAACAACGTCGTTTCGTTTTGAGGCAATTGGGGATTGTTGAAATCCCGACATATATATCATCCTTATCTTGTTAGTTGTTACCTAACAAGTTATCAGGTATGTATTTTATATTTATGTGATATTTTTTTCTCTTTTACTGTATTTTTACGGCGCATAAAAAACTTCTACCAGATTTATAGCTATTGTTTAGGGTTTTGATTTTTCCATTATTATTTTCTTGATAGAAACAAATATGAGAATCCATCTGCTTGAAAGGTCGACGACATGACATGGTTTGTTTCTAACTCTTGACTTACCATCAGTTTGCTCTTCAGATTAGAAATTTAGTTGTTCCAAACATTTTTATTTTCTTTTCTTTTTCGAAACGTTGTGGAGTCCCCAATCAAGAAATGTTAAGGTGCATCTGTTAATATATGTCAAATCGTTCAGGAAGGAAAAAAAACTGTGTGAAAACCAAACTCATAAAGGATTGGTTTTCACAAGGTAGTATTCAATTTTCCTTTGTGTTGATTTGATCAGTGAACAATTTCCTGGTTAGCAAAAATGGATTGGAAATACACTTCTGGTTATGGTTATCACTTATCTATAAGTTGGATTCCTGGAATCTTTGCTGAGATGGTATTAATGGCAGTTAGCTGAATGTTGTAGATTCTTTTTTCCTTGTTTCTTTCTTAACGAAGATACGTATAATTTTTTATTCGATGCAAGTTATTCACGTTCTACATCAAAATGTCCAGGATTTCCATGTGGCAGTTATATGGTGCCATTCGCTAGCAAAAGATACTTGCTCGGAGGCTTTTGCCTTCGTTGCAAATAGTACATTTATAGTTACCAGTTTTACCTGGTAAGAAATTAAGCTATCGTGTCATTTTCACTGGCAAGAATTAAACTATCATTCGTATTTGTGCGGAAGCGGCGCATGTCCCACTTCTACGCGCCAACCTTCTGCGATTTCTACTACAGACAGGACAGGCCCACCAGATGAAGCCTCACCCTTTGTATGGCGCACAATCTGGTCGTCATCTACTCTCTCCAGCGGCACATGGACATATGCTGCCAGTTCCTGGCCGATCTCCCGAGGACATAGACACTTACACTGACTAGCCAATGTCGACTTTCTCACTTTAGCAACCCTCTAAACGCTCAATGATGAGCTGCTTGAAGCTGTTTAATGTCCGTAGGGATTGCCCTGTATTATTATTTACCCATATGTACGCTTCAAGGTCAAAGAGAATAGTTGTGTCGAAAAGGGTTAAGGCGGTTGTCTTGGAACTAACCGAATAAAAAATCACCGGTAAACATATGGAAAAAAAGTCGAATGAGAAAACTACAAGTGTGGGTGATAAAAAAAATAGTGCAGGAAAGCAATCGGCATAGAAAGTCGAGGTTGATGAGAGGACAATGCGAGAATGGGAAATCTCGAATTCTTGGAAGGACTCGATTAAATGTGAAAGCGAGTGGTGGGAGAAGGAGAGAGAATCTTTACTCCAGCGGGTTGATTATGAGAGTGGTGGGAATGGTGGGAGAAGGAGAGAGAATCTTGGAAGGACCCAGTCAAAGGTGAAAACGAGTGGTGGGAGAAGGAGAGAGAATCATTATTCAATCTTTACTCAATGAGAGGACAATGCAAGAATGGGTGAATCTTTTGTTTCCAGCATATGTTTTCACCTTTGACCAAGTCCTTCCAAGATTCTCTCTCCTTGTCCCACCACTCTCATATTCAACCCACTCGAGTAAAGATTCTCTCTCCTTCTCCCACCACTCGCTCTCATCTTTAACCGGGTCCTCCCAGGAATCCTCGATTGTTATAGAGATTTCCCATTCTCGCATTGTCCTCTCATTGAGCTCGACTTTCGATGCCGATTGCTTTCTTGCACCTATTTTGTTATCACCCACACTTGTAGTTTTCTCTTTCGACTTTTTGTTCCTATGTTTACTGGTGATTTTTGGTTCCTTTTGTTTCAAGACAACCGCCTTAACCCTTTTCGCCACAGCTATTCCCTTTGACCCTGAAACGTACATATGAGTAAATAATACAGAGCAGATTGCGCGGACATTGATGATAATCAAACTCCAGTTAACTTTTGGTTGGTTGATTTTTTTTATTTTATTTTATTTTATTTTTTTTTTTTTTTTTTCGAGAGAACAATTTTTCCAAACGCGAATATTTATACCGAAAATATACTTCTCGTATTCTCGCGATCTCTTCAATAAATAGTTTTTTTTTTTTT